CTTTATTTAACTTCTTAAAAGCAGATTTATAGCATCTTTGTTCTCCCGGCAAGGTTTTGAAATGTTTGTTTTTCTTTTCTTCCTCACACAGCAATCATTTGCAGAGTTAAGCAGGCCTATCTTGCTCCAGATAGCTGAGTCAGCCTACAGGTTCACTTTGGGCTCAATTGCTGGAGGTAAGTAATTTATCTGGGTTTCAGGTCTGTGTTTGTAGTCTTTCTTGCCAGACTCTTTGGGACCATTTAAGGTGCACTTTCTTGTTATGCAGGTGAAGCATTGGAGGCTGCAGCCACTGGTTGTGCCAGTCTCTTCCTTTATCTCTTCTGTTCTAGTACCCTTTTAAGAGCAACTGGAACTCTACTCGCTTGGTGAACACATTTGCTTACTGATAGTTCTTGTTGCTTCTTTTTCTGATTGGTTTTCTTTTCTGTACACCTCGTTCTATGTAATACATAGTAAATTTATTCTCCTGCAGACTTTTTTTTTTTTTTTTTTAAGATTTTCTGTATTGTTTTTTCTTACTTCCAACATATCAGAGATCTTACCAGCTTGTAAATATTTGTGTGTTTACATTACTGTTAAAGAAAGTCACCATAATATTGATGTACTACACCAACAGAAAAGTTGCAGAAGTAATGCTCCGAATGCTTTCTCACAGCTGTTGGTGCTACAGCAGTATATCCCATAGACCTGGTGAAAACTCGTATGCAGAATCAGCGCTCCACTGGTTCAGTCGTAGGAGAGTTGATGTATAAAAACAGCTTTGACTGCTTTAAAAAGGTTTTGCGTTTTGAAGGCTTTTTTGGTCTTTACAGAGGTGAGTGAATAAAATATATATATCGGCTTGGGGATTTTCTCCTTTTTTATTTTTTTAATACCTCAAGAACTACTCTTATTGGAGAACTGTGAAACTTGATTTAATTTACGTTTTTGCTTCTGTCTCATAGAGTTGAATGTTTAACTTCCCTTGGGCACTGTTCATCATAATTGCTGGGAAAAACGAGGCCTTCTGTTGTTACCGTTTGGCTTCTTGGTACACAGATCTGTTTAAAGTCCTAATCTCTGTGGTGTGAGTGTTGTGGACAAGATTATCTCACAAACTGAGGTTTGTGACATTTGGCTGGGGGCAAACATGAGGAACGCATTTTAGCCTCTGAAGAGTAAATATATTTTACAGTGAATATTTTTTATTAGGAGAGAAAATAGTCATTCTGAAAGGTACTTGTTAAACTGGATGCCAGATTGCTTATTCCTTATACCTCTGCAGGTACTGGGACTACTGTGAGCAAGAAATTGCAGCCTGCAATTTATGTATCACTTTGTTCCAAAATGCAGGTTAAGAATTGAAAGCAACTTATCAGTTAGATAGAAAGCTATCTATCTTACTTTGTTTTTTAGCTTAGGAGAAGGTTATGGAAGCATTTGTATCATATCAACAAGATAACTTACTTAAATGGTACGTACACTACACATCTTCTGATATTTATATTTAGTTGAATTCTCTCTTTTTTTTTTTTTTATAAGAGTCAGCACTTTCTTCTAAATTTTATGTTTTAATGTGATGGTCACAGGCTTGTTTTTTTTTTGTATTGCAGTGTGTTCTGCCCATGAGGACACTGGTCCTTGCTAGTATTTGTTAAGAGCAGTATCTGAGAAGTTTTTGCATGTGAAAGTCTATGGACTCTTAAGTAATTTTCTGCGATCTCACAGGATTTTTCAGTGACAAATAAAGAGAGGAATAAATCAGTCAAAATTTTAATGAAATAGCTGTAATCTCAGTAAATTATGTTTGTTTTTTTTTTTTCTAGTAGATTTCTTCCCTTTTTTTTTTTTTTGTTGCTAGATATTTCATTAAAACAAATACTCCTTGAAGTTGCATCTATGACTCTATTTTAAACTTTGTGATTTCTGCAGTTCTTTTCTATAGTACTCTTTTCTTTCTCCACCCCTCACCCTAACATGATTTTGCACAGCCACCTCTAAAGCTAATGACCTTTTATTTTTGTTTTCTAACTTTTGGCAAGCGCTTTCTATAGATGAGTTAAAAACAGTGCTTCACGCTTGAGGGGGGAAAGGTGCATGTTGGGGGAGTGTAATGGCAAATTGTTAAACTTTTAAAAATATGTTTAGTAGTTGTCTTTAAGATTGTTTAGCATGAAAGGTTCGTGTAGCTGTTCTGAAAACATTATGTTCTACAGTCAGCATGTACTCGTAGTGTCAGATTATCTGCAGATGAGAACAGAAACAGAAACAACAGAAATATTTACGGAGTTGACTGTAACTGGAATCTTATATTTCTGAGGGACTATCTTAAATTGTATTCTAATGTGTAATGATACAATATAGTTCTTCACTTCAGTTTAAAACATAGATTTGAATGGATATTAGAAAATTCATATTTTAAAGTAAAAACTTCTAATATTTGGTCAGGAAAATCATGATGCTTATGAAACCTGACATCCAACTTCTGAACTTATTATATTTTCTAAGCTCTCTTGCTAGACCGTACTGAATCCCAGGTTCTCTAGAATACAGTGTGTGTCCAGGGTGTTTAGCTGCATACAAAGGAAGAGAGAGAGTGTGAGGAATTGTCTTGGGCTGTTTTGTCTGGTAGTTTTTTTTCTTTTGCCTCCTCTCTCCCCCCCGAAGTACAGGCACAGCAGAGCTGGATTTCTTTTTGTGGTAGATCAGAGATTCAGGCTGGGAGGGCATATTTCTTTTTGTTATTGTCAACCTTTTTTGTATTTAATAACTACCTTTCCCCTGCACAGTAAGTCAGTACATCACACAGAAGGCACTGTGTTGGAAGAAAACACTGCACTGCATATATTAAGTGCTGCACTTTCTATTTTGGTACCTTTGCTCTGAGCTCCTTTTAGGGAAGTACTATAAAAATTTACAGACTTAAGTACTTTGGGGAATTTTGAAGGTTCTTTTATGATTTTTAATCATCATTTTCACTTAAGGTAGAGTGGGAAGCTGCATCATCATAGTTTTGTTGATGTAATTTGATGTTTGATGTTTTTAGTATGGGATTTCTTTATTTGTTAATTGGCAAGAACTTCCAACAGATTTATATTCCCTAACCATGGAAATGAGCACTTACAATAAAAATAAACACTTTAACTTTTATGATTTTATATGTAATACCAGGATTACTATGGAGAAAGTGAATTGAAAGACAACAGATGCTGATATGATCTTCTATGTTAGGAAGTTGAGACTGCCACCTACTGATTTGTCTTTTTTTTTTTTTTTTCTTAAACCTATTAGCTCCATGAAAAGTGCATGTACTTCTTTGAAAAGACTGTTCATTTTGGTAGTAGAGGAAGAGCCTTTCAAAATTGGTTTCTGCCAACTGATACTTCCTCTTGGCAAGATTAAAAAAAAAAAAAGTAATTAATTGTAAGAGAGTTTAAAGAAGTTTATGTTGGACTCAACTAATGAAAATCCTTTACATCATTAGTTGACTGGAGCCTTGAGAAATCTCGGGTTAGTGGTAGAGGTTAGTTCATAATTTATCATAGTTGTGTGTATCTCTCATAATTAATCTCCTGTTTTAATTTTAAGATTTATGGGAAAATCATATTAAGGGGCTAAAAAAATAAAGTCAAATTAATTCTTACGTAAGTAGACATATGGTGAGGTACATTCAGTCTTTTTTTTTCTTTTTTTTCTGTACAGCAACTGTATCAGACTTGATTTGGTTGTGGAATGTCGGCCACATTCACCCTTTTCATTACCATTTTCAACAGAAATCTTGTTGTAAAATCCTATAGGTATGAATATCCAGTGCTGTAGCAGCCACACATGCATAAATGCCATCTACCTCCTGGGGTAACTGCCACCCACTTCAAAGGAAATGCCATGCGCAGGAAGACATTTCTGTAGAGCTCTTATAAAATACTAGTTTCTTTATTAGGAAGATAATGTTGCCTTATGATGTCTTTGTTTCTATAGGCTTGTTACCACAGCTGATAGGTGTTGCTCCAGAAAAGGCTATTAAGCTAACTGTACGTATCTTTTTTTTTTCCTGACATCTTTTTGTTTGTTAACAAACACAGGATTTGTTTCCTAAAATGTGTGAAAGATGACCACTTACAAGCACTCTAATAAATATGGTTACAGATGTACTTGATATAGGTTAATAAGGAGGAAGGATACCTTTAAATTGTGTGTAACGTATTGTATCTTCATTAGGTTAATGACTTTGTCAGAGACAAATTTACTAAGAGAGATGGTTCCATCCCACTCCCTGCAGAGATCCTTGCTGGAGGCTGTGTAAGTATCTATCCTGTACTGTTTGTTCCTAGGAATAATTCATTCTCAGTAATGTGCAGTACAGTTGGAATGACAGTTACGTGTGTGCTTTGCTCACTTGAATGTAACTTTTTTTTCCGATTTACAAAAACTGGAAAAGAACTTTTTCTCTTTGGGAAAGCTGCATAATTCTGAGTTCCCTTGGAATTATGTGTTTTAACAACTTCTGGCCTACTACATAGCTTTTATTTTGTGGTGTTTGTATTTACAGAAGAAGCTTCTGTGCGACTACATTCTGTACTTTTGCTTAGGGTGATGTTCAGGGTTAGTTTGCAGAGAGATAGTTAGTCCTCATGAATGGATTATGGGAATCACGAGTTTGCTTCCAGAAGGGAAAAAAAAAAAAAAAAGGTAGACAGAAAAAAGCAACTGTTTGTTCATGAAGTTTTCAAAGGAAAAGAAACACTCTTTAACTTGCCATGTGTGATTCTCTTGTTTATTTGTGAAAATGTGAGAAAACTGAATGATGTAGTCTTATCTTTCGATAACAAGTTTGAGTGAATTTTTAGTTTAAGTTACTTCATATAAAGGTGGCCACTTCATATAAAGGTAGCATATATGTGATTGAAGTGAGCGAGGTCATTGTGTCTGCAAGTCATCAACTGCCT